ATTTCCAGACGTTTACTCGGAATGTCTCCGCGTCATCGCATCCCCAAAACAGACGTTCCGTCAAGGCACAACCCCGAATCAGTAGTGCTTCCTTGGTTTTTTCTTTGGATGCCCGAAGCCAGGTAGGCGATACACCTCGAAGGAACTGTAAACAAAGCCCTTGGGCGCCAATTGGGAGCTTCCCCCAGGCGCTGCAAGAGCTGCGCAGCGGCCGGGAGGCGAGCGGAGCTGGAACCCGCACTCCAGAGATCTTGAGAACCCAAGCTTTCTGGGCGAAAAGAGGCCCCCTGTTTTGGGAGAGACATGTTTGTGCCTACAAGATGTAATTCCTTTGGTCTGGAGGATTGGATAGGTGCCCTGGTTTGCAGGAAGTTACGTTTGCGTTTCGTTTCTTGCAAAAGGAGACTGGGAAGGGACAGCCGCAGACCTTGGCATCCGACGCAAGGCAAGATATGTTGCTCAGTCACAGCACCATTGTGAGAATGTCAGCACTCATTGTATACAAATGGCAGTAAGGGACTGAATAGAAGAAGCTCCGGCAAGGAAAGGAGAGAAGATAGGATCTGAAGAGGGCTAAAGCCACTTGGCTGTGCGGAGATGACAAGGACAAGTTTTAACACCCTTTCTCGAACAACAACACATATTAGTGGGGGCGGTTTTGTGGGAACCCCTGCTTGCTTGTGAGATACGGGTGGTGTCCGGCGGCACTGGAGATATGAGGTTTGCTTGAGGGGCTCTGTCCAAATCATGGAGTCGTATTGTGTTGCCACAAAAAGAAGCGCAGCGGCTTGCGGTTCTTTGTCTCAAAATGCCATTGCCATGGGGTAGGAAAGGGAGCACTTTCCTCATCAGAATGCTGTGTTCATTCCAAATGCAGTCCAAGCGGATTCACCATAGCGCTCACTTGCCTGACTCCGCGAACTTTTGACTCCGTTTGCTCCCAAGTTTGGTCTATCCCCTCAAAGCCGCAGCCTCCAAACTCGGCCGGTGCTAGCTCCCGCCAGGAGCTCGCCGAGATGCGGCGCGGTGGCCAAAAGGAGAGTGCTTTGAATCCCATTTGGCTGTGGGTCAAAACCGTTTTGGGATCCCATTTTGGGGTAGGTGCACCACCCATTTTAGAACCTATTTTAGTGGGGGTTGGGATGTTCCCTGGCGGTACGAAATTTGGATTTTGACCCATGGCCAATTTGCCGAAGCGTCTGGGTTTTGGGGGCTTGGGAATCGAATGTGCCCCAGGCCCATGCGGCATGAGCTCTGAAAGAATCATCTGCTCGAGGCGGAAAGCCTGCGCTTGGCTTCCTCAGGATTCGCTCGGCATGTTCCAAGCAAGCAGCGCTGGAAGCATGCCTTAAGCGGCGCATGCTCGGCAAGGCGTTCGTTGTTGCCCCTCAAGCTTGACTTGACAGAGAAACCTGGGTGAGTGTAGGATAGGCCTTGTTTGCGGGTTTTTTCACCTTCCTGGTGCACGTGGCGTAGCGAGCGCGTGGTTTGAAGAAGCCAAGGCAAGTGCTGAGTCCTCCCAGTGGGAGTGTTGGGAGCCCAGCGAGCGGAACCATTGGGAGACATAGGAATTTTCATGGGGAACCCCCGAAAAGTGGGTTGGAGGACATCGACATCTTTCCCCACCTTTTCGACGGTCCACCAACGGGTCGCTAGTTAAGGTTCATACCCATGTCAAGGTTTCTCCTTTTTGGACACACTTTCTGGTCTGGTCATTTGTGCATTTGGTCCCCTCGGCTCAGGGTGGTGACATTGAAGCGGAGGCCTGGTGCATGTTGGTTCCTCTGGACAAGCATCGCACAGGGCGTTGAACCTCCCCTGCACATGGTTGTTGGGAAATATTTTACGTCTTTGCTTATTGTGGTTTAGTGGTTGAAACCCCCACTGAACTGCTAAAAAAAATGAATTTCTGCTCCCCTTCCAACAACCAAGTGTAGGTTGTCAGAAAGGAGACATGTGGAGTCCTTGGGCACCCAACAAAAAGCGGCGGCTCAGAGTCCGTCGGGCGCGCTCGGGGCTGAGTCATGTCTCGTGGCTCCAAATTTTGTCTTTCCCCCTTGGTGAATCATGGAAACGGGGGGAGGGTCTGCCAGTCAGTCACCGCACCCTTAGGGCTACACAAAATGCCATCAAGATATCCAGACTGTGGAAGGGACGTAGACTCGCAAAGTTCCCCACAAGACCCATGGGGGACTCACCAGTTTGCGCATGTCCACGATGGAAGTCGCATAAGCTGACGTGCTGACATGACATCAGCAAGCATGCATTCCAAAAGGGTACGGGGAGAGGCCCGGCTAACCGGCATCATTGTAATATGGCCAGGCGGTAGCTCCATCCTAGCTATTTATCGTCTGTAGCTTGATCCTAATAGAGAGGTATGCCACAGCATTGAGTCCCCCAGCGTGCGCTAGGGAGTTGATTGAAGCTTCTCTAGTCGGAGCGCAAGCCATTTGGTGCATACCGCTTTCAAACGTGTGCAGCTTTGCCGTCTTTAGTATTATACATACACTTCATCAATTGAGTGACGTGTACTGAGTATCGCCACTCGAGACATGCTGGTTCTTGGGTTAGTTTCAATCTGAGTGCGGTCAAGCAGTTCCAGACCAGCATGGACAAGACACGGCGATCCTTTTGCCCTGTACACGTGGAATCCTGTTACTTTGCATGCCCATCAAAGAGTGTTTTCTATTGAAAAGATCCTGGGTAGAGCACGGGCTCTTCCACGCTTTCCAGGCATTCGTCCGAAAAGTAGTTTGCGGCCCTTCCTGGTTCCATTTTATGATAACAGAAATCTTTTGTGGGGAGGGGTGTCTGAAGATTGCAAGATTCCGACTTGGGCGACTTCCGACTTGGTTGTAAAAGGGGTGCCTAGAACTGAAGAGGCTCCCAAAGTTTTTACCCCCCAGCCGAACACCCTTCGGAGCTCAGAGACCCGGAAGTTCGTTGGTTGGAAGCGACCGGACAGGTCTTGGAGCTCTGCCAGAGGTTGGAGGAAGAGGCGCTCCGGGGGGTCAGTCCCAGACACTCTGGTGGGCCCGGCCACCACTTGCTATGTCTATTATTGTTATTGTCATGCATACCATGAATTCTTATTATCATTATTACTATCTCTCTAAAAAAGAACAGAAACAAGGACATAATTACCGTCTTTTATTGTCAATACCTTCGTCCCTACGTTCGCCGTCTCTCAACCACGACCCGCGCAGGTGGGTAGCGTTAGGTGGGGTTGGGGGGTGGGGGTGTAGCATACGCCCACTGCGCCGCCACGCCGGGTAGCGTCGTCACGCGGGAATGGGTGGGCTGGGGTAGCAGCGGAACAGAACATGTTGGTGCTACTCACTTGCTGAAAGCCAACTTTTGAACTTGGTTGTTTCCCTTTGTTGGCCCAGGACTAAAAATGGCCTCCTTTTTTTAAATGTTGGACTTTTTGGGCGACTGAGGCTAGCTTCTGCCCACTTGACTAAAGGCGTCCTATTGCTGGCCTTACAGGCTGCATTGGTCAAGACGGCCCCAAGGGAAGCACTCGTGCCTACTATTATCCTTAGTATGAAGCGAGCAGTACAATGGAATATGTTTTGTTGTTACTGGAACTGGCATGGCTCTTATGATTGCCTTTTTCTTAATCATCATGTGTCTTCTTACTATTCCCCCATCTTTATTAGTATTGTTGTCATTGTCATCATCTATATTGTAACTTATTGTTATTCTCTGACTCGGGCCATAAACATGGTCCTGTTTGAGTTGTTCTTTTTTGTTTGAAGGGGGGAGGGTTGGGGCAACACCCGTTGCTTCAAGTTCGAAGTTATCTCGTTGCGCGGCTGGCATCGCGTTGCCGCGAGAGGCCAAAGCCTTGCCGCGGGAGGCAGCCTGGGGGTGGGGGAAGAAGCGCAATAAGCTAGTATGATTGTGAGTGGCTGAATGATTGTATACTGACTTGTCCTTCGTATGATGATGATGATGATGATGATGATGATGATGATGATGATGATGATGGAGAAGGAGGGTTAAGCCTAGTTTCAGGGTTCCCGAACATCCCCCCCATTCCTTTTTCTATGTTTGTCTTAGTTGTTTGGCTGAGCTTGTCTCCATGAGTGGCCCACCAAGTGCCCAGCTTCGTTTGAGTGTTCCCAAAACCGAAGGAACCCACCTCAATGTTGACACGCAAGAAGTGACCTATTCAGCCCCACCATGTCAGCAGCTGAAGTTCACTCCAACCGGCTGATCCGAGGCATGTAGATACGGCTGATTGGTGGATGACTGATGAGAAGACTTGAACATTGCAAGGCCACCCTGACACCTGGTGTGACAGTGTGATCCGGGTCTGCAATCCTGGGACTGACCAGATCCCAATACGCACAAGCGGTTTTTCAGTTTGTCGGTTTTTCGGGGGGTTGTTGATTGGCACCATCTCTAGAGAATCACTGTGACCCATTCCACGCATCTCCCAGGATGACGCACTGGATGCCAGAAGCTGGTCCACGACCAGCGTCGGGTGGAGTGACCGAAACCAGCAAAAGAGTGCGTTTGACGTCGCGCATGCGAACTGTGAGTAGAATCTCCTTTTCATCCTCCATGCACCTGCGGTTGTAGAAAATTGCATGATCTGGTGGCATTTTTAGGCCAGTGGCTGGAGGTAGATGGGTTCTTGGATATTCCAGGCATGTGCTCACAGTTGCCAGCGCAGCTTCTAGTGGCCTTCGGCATGTTGGGCGCAACAAGATTGCGTGTGTCTCCACACCTTCGGCATGAACGCAGAACATTGGCAATGAGCCCGTCCACCTGGAAAGTCAAAGCTCATGCCTATCTCTGTTTGCCCATTCTCAACACATACAACGCATTGGCTCCTGTCCAATGTTTGGACCTCCGCGCTCTCTTCGTACCCTTCCCTCGTTGTAACATGTCTGCGTGTCGTTCTGTGTGTTTCTGTCCGATGACTATCAACACACAGCACCTGGGCAGATTCATTTGGGCTTAAAGCCGGCACAAAGCAGACACAAAAGAGTGGCCCGAGTCCTCCCGCGTGACAGCGCTATGCGGTGACAGCCTGCGCCATGCAGCCGCGCCAGACAGGGCCCCGATGGGGGAAGGGCGAGGAAGGACTAACTCAAAGTATGAGAATTGCATAGAACTATGGGCATCCGCGGTTCTTTCGAATGGCTACCAGGGTTCGGCTCTCAATAGCATTTGGGCCACTTGTCATTTATTATGTTTGTTATATGTATTAGTATTGTTATTATTGTCATCATTATTATTATTGTTATTATTATTATTATTATTATTATTATTATTATTATAATTACTATTATTACTATTATTATTGTTATTATTATTATTACTATTATTATTACTATTATCATCATGACTGTCGATTACTACTTTCGAATAACTATGTTTTTTTGGTGTTGTCTAGGCTTGTCATGAGGTCGACAGCATGAACAACTTGCCTGCTCCTTCCGGTTGGTCATGCCTGCAATGTGTGATACTGTCCATTTGACAACGCAAGCTTTGAACCACATGTATCAACAGGAGATGTTTGTTGAGTGTCACTCACAAAGGGGTTGCTTTCTTTGGCCAGCATATCAGCTGTGGTAGTGGTACTTGAAGGGTAAGGCCTAAGCCTTTTCCTTTCGATGTCTCTGTCCCTGTCCCTTCCCTTCTCTCCCCGTCCCTTCCCCTTAGTTCTGTTCTTTTCTCTTCATGTCTCGTCTTTTCTTTATTTTTTCTATTTTCATATTACGTTTGTTTTCTGTTCTTGCCTTTGCCCGGCCCTTGGCCTTGTCATAAATGATCATACAACACAGCTAGATTCATTAAAACAACATACATCATTCATACATGGTTGTTGTTGGGAAACATGTTAAACTTGTGCCTATTGTGGTTTAGTGGTTGACATGCTAAACAATAAATGTTTGCTCCCCTTCCAACGTCAACCATGCATAAACCTTTTCCCGGCCCCTGGCCTTATCACAAATGATCATATAACACAAGAAACAGATTCATTAAACCTACATACATCTTTCATAAACATACATCCATTTTTTGGGGGGGCACAGCAGCAAGTCGAGCGACTCGGCTGACCTTTGGCGCTCGATCGCCAGGAGCCTGCAGGGGCCCCCGGCCATGCCGGCCATGTCCGCCACCACGCTCCCGGGGAGCTTTGAGCGGCGGGCGACCCCGCGGCTCGGATGGGGAATCGGTTCACCGCCGCGTGGTGGGCGTGGGATCCTTTGGTTTAGTTGATTTTGGTCGGACTAGATTCGGGATTTCTATTTTTTTGTTTGTTGGTTGATCTTTTGTTTAGTTGGGATCTTTTGGTTACTTGATTTTGGACGCGACCTAGCACGCTTGGGAGTGCTTGGATCCTGGATTTGGATTTGGCAGTCCAGTTCTCGGATTTTTGTTTAGTTTGAGTAGTCGGAGCCAGGTAGGACTTTGATTGGATAAAAAGTAGACTTGGACTCTGGAGATGGTGATCGAAGTTGGACAGGGGACGATAGGTGGCCTGAGCATTTTTCCTGGAACCAAAAACCACCCAACATGAGGTTCCCCAAAAAGGAAAACCACCGTTGTGGAGGGTCTCCTTTTTGGGGAACCTCATGTTGGTATCCATTTTGGTTTGCAGGAGTATCTGCTAATTACCCAAGATCGATCAACTCCTACGGCTTTGGGTGACGGACCATGCTCGGGTGTTTGAATCTGGAAAGGCAAAGTATTTTCCTTGCAGCTGGACTTGCTACATGCCGCTCCGAGTTTTGTTGCAAGGTTTGCTTCTTTCTGGTTTGTTTCGGACAATCTGGCTGGTTCTTTGGGCGCTAGAGACGGCATAGGCAGCCCTGCGGGCACAAATTTAATGCCAGGCTGACGGGCACAGAGCCGGGCCTTGCATGTAGCACCTGTCCGCAGATCCGCACTTGAAGCCACAGGATTGCCCTTGGCTTAAAGCTAAAGGTGTTTGAGAAAGAACACCTCCTTTAGATAGGATGACGATTGGGGAAAACCAGCAAACATGTGATATGTCACCCATTCATTGGACAAGTTTCCCATGGCCAGCCAGGAATATTGATCAACCCCCTCCTGATGCTTTTGCCCAACAGCTGAAAGCCATGGGGTCCTCTCTGGGCAATCTATGGGGTGGTTTGGGCCAGCTTTCAGGGAGGGTCTCGGAGATTCGGTTCCAGGATACTGCCCGGAGAGGGTCTAATTTTTCCCCCGGCTTGTGCTGGTCGCTCGATCCCGCACTGGGTCGCCCGGCAGTGGTAAGTCCCTGGCAGCGAAGCTAAGGATGCGGACACTGCCTGCGACACTACCGGCGCAGGCAGGGCGGAGTTCCAAGGTGTGTCAGGGTCCCTGGAAGCATTTGGGCCGAGCAAATCCCCTGTCCCACCTCATGGGAATGCCCTTGTAGAGCAGGTGTTGAGAGACATACAGTCTTCATTGCTTTTAAGGGATTCCTTTTTGCAATAGAAAAGGAAGTTTGAGCCTCCCAAATCAGACGCTCTGGGAAGCGCAGTTCACTCCCCAAGAAACCTGAAAGAGCATACACATGTCCGTTTTGATGTTTCTGTGAAGGAGCCTGAAAAGTACGCCCTTTTTGCGCTTTCACTTTGGCTTTGAGTGCCTTTGATTTGGTCCTTGTGATTTGATTCTTGTGACGGACTCCCACATTGCAGTCTGGTGTATCTCTGATCAAGTAATCAGAAGGCTCCTGCTCATTCGTGCCTGAGCCTCCTGCGAGCGACTGCTATGCACAGACTGAGGCTCGCGAGTGCGGACCACTGGCAAAGAATCCCTGTCCCGGCTTTTGTGATCGATGTCATTTGTCACTTTCCAAGGTCGGCAGCGGGCGTTCTTAAGGCTTGTTTGTTGCTTCTACCGGTAGTTTTTGTGCATGACCCATCATACAACCCACTTCGGCTGCCTGAAAGAGCAGGGATAGAGAAGGTTACGTGCTTGCATGGTTTGGACTCTGGTGCAGTGGATGCCCTGAATATTGTAGGTGAACCGACCGCGCAACCGCACAGGCCTTCTACATTGCTGGGTTTCGCTTGTTCCCTTCTGCTCATTTTTAGGTCATCCACCCTACCTGCGAGATCTTCGGGTGCTCACAAGACACTATGGGCATACGCCACATCCCGGCCATGAAGCCCTGAGACATGGTGCTGAATCGAACTCTCAATGCGGCCTGCAAAGCATTGCCTCAAGTACCCCATGTTAGAAACACAATCACCACCCCTCATGGTTGTACTTCGCTTGAAGAGCTAGACCCAAGAACCTGCCTGCTGGAAATGCCCAAGGGCGCGAATGAGCCAACCAAAGCTGGGATACTCGATGCTCGTTGCGCCCAGGTTCCGCTGGCTCGCGTCAGCTCGCAGGGTTTGGGGCCCGGATGGCTTTGTTCTTTATGTCTTGTGTCAGGATGGAATATCGGCAGGGAATTTATGGGGTTGGTCTCAATATGCAGCCGAAGCAAAACGAAACATTTGTGCCATTGGAGTTGCGAACACTAGATCAATGATGGCTTGCACTCCCAAGAGCAAGCGTGAAAGGCAGTGAAGTGCACAAAGACATTGTCAGAAATAGCTGGACCGGACCTGTGCACACATTTTTTCTGGCTTTCGGGAGAGTATCACACACACGCACATCATTGCTAATCACTCAAGGTCGCTCCACTTTGGGTTTGCATGGCTAAGCAGCCAATATACATGGCCATGGGTCAAAAATCCCGTACCCCCAGTGAACATCCCGATCCTCACTAAAATAGACTAAAATGGGTGGTACACCTACCCCAAAATTGTACCATTGGTTTTGACCCACACTCAGGTTTCATTGCGCCGCCGCCCCACCCCGCGATGCAGCGATGCTTCAGCTTGGGCAGCCTGCCCTCGAACGTGACGACGGTGGTCACGCCCACCACGCCGGGAAGGCGGCCCTCCGTAGCTAGATTGGTCTGGTTGCATATGAATGGCGCGGTATGCCTGGCACAAGCAGTCAGCGGTATGCCTGAGTTGCCTTACTTGCCTCGTTTCAAGCACCAGCACATAGCCAAAACAAGAAGCAAAAAACATCATCACAAGCCTGCCGTCAGCCACTGTGCGGTTCCAGGGAATCTGTTCACTTCGGGCTTGCTTGTGACCAGAGTGCCCTCCAGAAGCCCCTTTGCTAGAGGTTTCGATTCGCGGCATTGTAGCCTTTGTGTTGACGTTGCCTTTATTTCTCCGAACCGCTCAATCCGCAACTCTAAACATGGTGTCAATGATACTGCAGCCTTACGTGCACGCGTTTGCAGTCTGAGAGATGCAATCAGAACTCTTGCTTTTTGCAGCTTCCCTGCACACCCCTTCAATTGAACTAGATCAGAGGTCTACCAAGGCACCACGTCTTTGCGCCAGTTTTCTCGCCTTTCGGAACCGTTTTGCTCGCAGGTACTACTCCGGGCCCATCGCGTCCGGGCCCGTTGGGTCTGGGACCGTCGCTTCCGCGGACACGAAGCCCGCGACCGGCTCGACCGGCTTCGGCGTGGGCTACCCGGTGATCCGGCCCACGATGGCCATGCCCAGCATGGTGGTGCCGCGGAGCGGTTTACGGCACTTTGTGTTCTTATTTGGGTGCGGCTCATTTTTTTGCGCAGGTGTTAGTGCTCTTCTCCGTTTACCATGGTTGTTGTTGGGAAGCACTTAACATTTTGCTGCTCGTGGTTCAGTGGTTGAAATCCATCCACTGAACTGCTAAAAAAGAAAGAAACATATGTCGCTCCCCTTCCAACGTCAACCATTGCCAGGGTCCCATGTTGGGGGTTACCCGAATTTTTGGGCCACGCCGAATCTGAGCCAAGGCGCAGCCCATGGTGCGGCAGCCTTCCACCGCCTCGATCTCGCTGGGGGCGGAGACCCCCTCCCGCCGGAGCCAAACCGGGCGGGCCGAATCCATAGACAGCAGCCCCCGGCGCCGGGACCGCAGTCAGAGCGTGCGAAAGCAGACCTCCATGAAGTCCATTCCCTCCATTCAGTCCGTGGAGGAGGAGCCAGCCATTTGCTTTCGATGGCTCTTCATGCCTGCCTAACTGCTTGCTTGTTTGCTGACTGCTTGCTTGCTTAACTGCCTGCCTGCCTGCTTGCTGGAATTTGCGCTTGCGTGCCTTCCCGACTGCTGCCTGCCTGCCTGCTTGCTGGCGTTTGCGCTTGCTTGCCTGCTTGCCTGCTTGCCTGCCTGGCTGCCTGCCTGCCTGCCTGGCTGCCTGGCTGCCTGGCTGCCTGCCTGCCTGCCTGCCTGGCTGCCTGCCTGCCTGCCTGCCTGCCTGCCTGCCTGCCTGCCTGCCTGCCTGCCTCCCTCCCTGACTGCGTGCTTGCTTGCTTGCTTGCTTGCCTGCCTGCCTGCCTGACTGCCTGCCTGCCTGCCTGCCTGCCTGCCTCCCTGACTGCGTGCTTGCTTGCTTGCTTGCCTGCCTGCCTGCCTGACTGCCTGCCTGCCTGCCTGCCTGCCTGCCTCCCTGACTGCGTGCTTGCTTGCTTGCTTGCTTGCCTGCCTGCCTGCCTGCCTGACTGCCTGCCTGCCTGCCTGCCTGCCTGCCTGCCTGCCTCCCTGACTGCGTGCTTGCTTGCTTGCTTGCCTGCCTGCCTGCCTGACTGCCTGCCTGCCTGCCTGCGTGCGTGCGTGCGTGCTTGCCTTCTTGCTTGCTTTGCTTTGCTTTGCTTTGCTTTGCTTTGCTTTGCTTTGCTTTGCTTTGCTTTGCTTTGCTTTGCTTTGATTGCTTGCTGGCATTGGCCATTGGAGGCATGCTCGGGAAGAGTTTTGCAGCCGTTGCTTCTTGCCCATTTGGCGTCGGTGTTCGGCTTCCGGGCTCGCCAGTCGCTCGATGCAGGAAGCGCGGGCCGACAGCCCCCGGAAGAGCTCCGCGAGCCCAAGCCGCCAGCACAGTCGCCAGAACAGCCGACAGGAGGAGACCCTATGGGAGGTGCTTCCGGGCCTGGGGGGGTGGGCTCTTCCGGGTGGTTTTTGAGTCCAGACCATTTTTTGTTGGCTCTGTGTGGAGTTGTTGGGCCGAGTGGAGGGACCTGGCCAACTTAGTACGCCGGACGTGTTGGTGGTTTTGTGACGCACATTCATGCATGTCTTGCAAAAGCAAGCCGCCAAAAACGGCAGGAAGCAGAAGCTTGCTTTTCAAGCTTCTTCCAACGGCGCATTGTGCTGAGATCAGACATTCCGAATCTCCAAGCTGAAGCTGAGCCACGCACGGAATTCTGCTGTCAAGGTTGGGAAGGAACCAGCAGGAGCTGGAATTTGTGGCTACCACTCAGAATAAAGGCATCCCTGTGAGAGCCCCGAGAACAGCTGAGGGCGGTTCAAAACTTGCACTGTGCTGAAGGCTTCAGGTGCCAAGATGTCAGAAAAGTGCACTTCGCGAAGCATGCCAACACAAGATGTGATGTCTTTCCACCGCCAAGTTTGAACAAACGCAAGGCCCTTACCGGCGGTATCCAGATGGCGCTTTGCATCCCAGCAAAAGCCGAGACTGCCTTTTGCAGCCTTTAGATGCAGATCCAAGGAACCCAGCTGTTCAGTTATGGTTGAAAACCAATTGCAAGGCGAATCTCGTCAGAAAGGTTTGATCTCCCACGTCCACTGCCATTCCCACGGTCGTCGGTTGGTCGACTGGGCTCCCTGTGCAACGAATTCGGGTGCTCGGCTGAGGTGCCCTACTCCTCTCGGATCCACTCAGGGAGTTTGTCTCCTCGGGCCGTGAGCCCGCGCTCGGAGTCCAAGCGCTACAACGACCTCTACCAGGAGCTGTGTCGAGCAACCTCAAAACAGGGGTAGTTTTAACATCGCCTTTTTGGCCCATGAAAGGTGAGTGTCCCTTTGTGGGGGTGATGTTGTAAGAGGAAATATAGGGAGCCCTGTCAAAATGTTGGGACGGGATTCGGATTCGGATTCCACTTGGTTTGCGGTCAAAACTCCCTAAGAACACGTACCTTCAAACAGAGACCAATCTGCCAAGGGCGGGCGACACCTGCTCTGCTCTGCTTCTTGTTCCCAACAGATGGGCAAGACTCGTGCGATGCACCAGTGCGCCTGAGTGCCAAGCAGTGCCCGCAGCCCTTTTCTTCGGTGGGGTTGCCCCCCATGACCAACTTCTACAGACCTTGGCAATTTGGTCGGATGCTTCTTGAAAAAGGCATTGCCATTATTGATGGTGGCATTGTTGTATTTGGGGTACCCTTGTTGGGGAATTTGCAGGGAAGCCAAGTTTTGATCTCTGTTCTTACCAGGGCATGGGGAAGCTGGGCAGCTGCAGTCCAAGGTGACTTTCCAAGGGCCATAGCTACAGCCCGAGCCATACTATTGGGGCTAGGTGAAGCTTTCTTCACGGCTGGAGGATGGGTTCAGGGGTCTTGGTCTTGGTGGCTCCCAGCCATCCGGTTCCTTGGCTTTGTAGCTTTTTAGGGTTTGGTGGTAGTTTCCATTTAACCCACAAGTTCAACTAGCAGGGCAAGGGCATCGCCTGGCCAGGACGGGGAGCTGAGGCGCCAGAAACTGCAGGCCAAGTCGGAGGAGAAGAAGCGGCAGGAGGCGCAGGAGAGACATATTCTTGTGAAGTAAAGAGACGGACGTGGTTGATTTGCATGTTCCAGAATTGCCCAAGGACCCCTAATGCAACCGCTTGACCAGTCCAAAAGCAAACCAAAGGCAGATCAAAAGCAAACCAAAGGGAGACCAAAAAAGAGACCAACAGGAAACCAACGGGAACTGGAGCAAAACCAAGGCAAATCCAAAGGGGAGCCAACAAAAAACACCAAAGGCAAACCAAAGCACCACCAAAGATGCAGGTCCCTGCGAGCTTGGGATCCCGTGAGCCCGGGGCAGTTGATTTTCCCCCCAAGTGGGAACCCTGGCAGCTGCCAACGTTACCCATCGAACACCATGAACTTGCCAAGATAGAATCTACGAGAAATGAAGCCATACGTACATAAACAAGTAAGAAGTCGTATGTACATATATATATATATATAATATGACGACTTCACGGATTTCCCTTACCAAACTCCATGATGACATTTTGCCCACCAAGGCCGACCGCCCCTCTTGAATCCCATATAGTATAGCAAACAAAGTGAAGGAACAACAACAACGCCAGCATCACCACAGTCAGCACTCTCAGCATCGCCAACGGCACGGCTTCTGGACGGACCAGGGTGGAATCAAGTACACATAAAATAAATGAACGGCACCCTCGCCATTTAATGAGCAGTGCAACGATGGATTGAACAGAGCATGATGATGACTGATGATGTAATGGTCAGTAATTTTCAAGATGAGAGGTTGCCACCCTTCCCGTGCGCCTCCTTTCAATGGAGAGGGTCTGAGGATATAGTGCGGTTACATTTGCTTTGACGAGGGCATGAACGGGCACAAAGAGCTGCTCGAGGTGTCTTTCACGCAGATCTACCTAGTAGGTCCGAATACATGACAGTGCAAGTTAATCCTGTTTGGGGTGCAAAAACAGCACAGAGCTTTGTTCTGAACATATACTGGCATTTTCGCGGAAGGTTCGCAGAAGGTTCATGGAAGGTTCATAGGTTTGCGGAAGGGCGACCCCCCAACTTGGGAACTTTTAGAGCCAAATTTGCAGAGCAGCGTATAGTCCTTGGATTTCGTCTGTGTGGCTTTTGCCAAAAGCAGTGCCTTTACTCGCAACACGTGCACGCACATTCCCTCCTGGAAGCTACCTTCCACAATTTCCAGAAACAACTTGCCCGCGTCTACGCTGCAGAAGCTTCGCGGAAGACGTCCATTCAAGCTTGAAGGGAATAAACACCACCACTCATTTGGTATCCACTTAAACTTTCACCTTGTGGGCTATTTTCAGGTCAGTCTCTTGGACAAATACGGAACCCTGTTCTCGCCGATTTGCCGAAAACTGCAGAACAAAGGGATGACAGTCAGCCCCATACCTAGCACAAATGAGCAGAGATTTCTTTTGCTAAGTAGTCGCTTAATATTCGTGGGGTATGCCTGTTATGTGGTGTCGGGGGCACCGCGTAGGCAATTCTGGTCAGGGAAGCGACTCGCGTAGGCAGTCCGCGTAGGCTGTTCAAGAAAGTCCTGCGCAGGCAGGTTCGCGTAGGCGTGTTTTGCCCTGCACTAGCTTGTTGATACGACTGGAGAGTGGCGCCCGAGAAAAGCCTGCGTAGGCACTCCGCATAGGTGCTTGTTGCCGCGTAGGCTCGCGTAGGCACAGTCCACGGTTTTGCGCACCTGCGGAGGCTCCGCATAGGCATGGATGCCAGTGTATGAGGCCGATACACCCAAAAAAACCTACTCATATCTTGGATTGGATGGGGGGATGTGTCCAAACTCGGGAACGCCTAAACGGGTGGTCTCGTTTCGGTTCCCCTGCAAACCGTCCTTAAGCAACCCTAGTGTTGCTTCCCACTCGGGCGCTGATTCGATTTGTGTCACATCTTTTGGGTTTCGGCCCCGAGGAGATCACGAAGAATATCTCCAGCACCTGCAGCCCCCGGCATTTCAGCAAGGAGCAGTTCCAGCAGTGGCCCCCTTGGGGTTCGGCAAACAGCTGAGTTGCACCGCTCGGAATGGCCGAGTTGCGCTCCAAGAAGAGTGAATTTCTGTCGCAATCTTTCGGCTGGGTTTCCTTTTGACCTGATAGACAGGGTCAACACAAAGGCCGGTTCCCCATGAAGCAAGGCACATTCGCCGGAGAAGGAGCTGTGTGTTTCGCACCCGGCGGAGCCGGTCATGTCGAAATATATCGAAAGTTGGGAAGCGCCTGGGGGAGGTGTTTAAGCGACCCCACAAATGCTTGGCTTTCCTTTTGGTTCCCTTCAAAACATACCCAAACAGGGGTGCCGCCAAACCACGACCTCCCCAAAAGAAGAGATGCTTGCTTTTTGCGGTGACTGCTTTGGCTTGAAACGCGACCTTGCTGGCGAGGTACAACGAGAGCATGAGCAAGAGGCAGGAGACGGAGAACTCAAGACAAGAGAAGCAGAGATGCGAGGCGCGCGAGCCAAGCAGAGCTCATGCATGCGAACATCGCTCAAATGTAAGTACAATGAGTGGAGGGTATTCGAGAGCCACCTTTTCAGCCTTGCTCAAATCAACCCATGTTTGCTCTTTGAGAACATAGGAGTCTGCCTAAGTTGGTATCAGAGAGGTGTTTGCCACACATAAGCCACATTCCCCTTGCATTTGCAACATAGTCTCTGAGTCACTGCCGCTTTGTGATGAGCACGATCGGCGTCGGAGAACATTTGCGCTGATGACAAGGCAACAAACACAGGCATTGGTTCGACTCTGCCCGACAGCCAAATGTCCTAGTAAAAACGGGACGAAGTCGAAGTCACATGCCCGACGTGCTGCGTTTTACAGTATGTCGCGCTGCTGAAATCCCCAGCAAAGCCCCCCGTTGAGCCAACGACCACCAACCAACCAGCCAGCCAGCCAGCCAACCGACCAACTAACCAACCAACCAACCAATAACCAACAACCAACAACAACCAACAACAACCAACAACAACCAACAACAACCAACAACAACCAACAACAACCAACAACAACCAACAACAACCAACAACAACCAACAACAACCAACAACAACCAACAACAACCAACAACAACCAGCAGACATCGCGGGCATGTTTGCGATCAAGTGAGCGGGGTTTCGGCGAAAGCGGGGACGCCGCCACTGTGCCGAAAACATCGCAAATACCGTAAGAGGGCATGCCGGGGATACAGTCTTCGTCTGATCGGCTTTGGGTGTGCGCCCCGTGCGGCGCGCGCCGCACGCACGCACGCAAGCGTGCACGCACGCAAGCGTGCAAGCACGCGCGCGCGCGCGGGAAGGTTTGGAAGGGAAGGGTGGGAAGGGTGGGAGGGTGGGAAGGGTGGGAAGGGGGTGGGAAGGGGGTGGAAAGGGCGGGAAGGGCAGGAAGGGTGGGAAGGGGGTGGGAAGGGTGGGAAGGGTGGGAAGGGTGGGAAGGGAGGGAAGGTGGGAAGGGTGGGAAGGGTGGGAAGGGCAGGAAGGGTGGGAAGGGTGGGAAGGGCAGGAAGGGCGGGAATGGTGGGGGAAGGGTGCGTGCTGAGTGGGAGCAACCCCCTGCAGCCAACCAGCACAGCGAAGCCCTAGGACAACAAACAACAAACAGCAAACAGCAAACAACAAACAACAAACAACAACAAGCAACAACCAAGAACCAAGAACCCACAACAGACAACCAACAAACCGACAGCCAACAACCAACAACCAATAACCAATAACCAAGAAGCAGCAACCAGCAACCAGCAACCAGCAACCAGCAACCAGCAACCAGCAACCAGCAACCAGCAACCAACAGCAACAGCAACAGCAACAACAACGGCAGCAGCATCAGCAACAGCAACAGCAGCAGCAGCAGCAGCAACAGCAACAGCAGCAACAGCAACAGCAACAGCAGCAACAGCAACAGCAGCAACAGCAACAGCAACAGCAACCGTCGGCAGCAACGGCAGCAGCAGCAGCAACAATCACACTGGCTGTTCAGCCACCTGACAACCCAATTCGTCTACAAATATACTAATATATCAACTAACCAACCAGCAGCCAACCCGCAGCCAACCAATTAATTATGTGCCAAGGCTCGCATGCGTGCGTTCAAGGACTGCGTGGGAGATTGGGCAACCTCTTCTTTTTTTTTTTAAGGGTTTTGTGGGGCATGTCTGGCTTCTCCCATTGGATGTAATAGCCAGCTTGCATCATGTTGCCTTTTTCTTGCCGTGCAAGGCTGATATGTATGTATATATATATATATATATATGTATGTGGCTCCACAAGTCGAGGAGCAAAATCAGGAGATCAGTTGATAAGGTGCGTGACGATACATGTGTGTTGCCCGCCCAGATGTGCAGCCCGTTGAAAGCGCACATAGTCTGCAAACTCATGCAGCTGACTTGGCGACTGCGTCGCTTAGGGAGAAGACCAGGAGGAAGTTCTTTGAGTCCATGCAAAGCTGTTGAAGAAACATGCAATGTGGTCATCGAGCCACGTGCCAGGATTTCAATGACGTGCAATTTGAAGTTTGACACACACACACACAACAAAGATGTTATTTGGGGATGTGGATCTTTGTTAGCTGCTTTCGGCTTGGCGCAGCCTCGGGCGGTGGAAGTGATTGTGTTCATGCAAAGTGTTTCCATGTCCTCGAGGAATCCACTCAAAGGTGGTACGCCTTGCAGAGGGCGTCCCTCGGAAGATTAGAACATGGAGGCCAACAGGGCGCAACTGTGAAGGTAAAAGGGGATACTTGGACCAGATATGGGTATTGTTCGGTGAGGGTATCCTCTTGCTCAGGGAAGTCAAAGAGAAACCGGGCCATGGTACCAGAAAGCGGCGCCTGCAGGAGCTTTCCGAGTGCACCTTCACACCAATGGCTCCGCTCTGGAAGGCGGGAACCTGATCTCTTTTAGCTGTGGTTCAAGGCTGCAGAATTGGCGTTTCCATCTATTTGAACCATGTTCATGATTTAGAGGAAAGACTCTACAGACCCCCGGCCCCTCTTACCAGAAACCAGAGGGATTGGCAACCTTGGGGCGCTCCGGGCGAGGCAAAGAACGGAAGGCAGCGGTCAGGCGGAGGGGGAGCTGGGGAGCTGGGGATGGTACCTGGCACTTCGAGTGCATTGGCCACGTCTGCTTTACAATCCCAACGGCCAAATGGCTTAATGGTCATATCCAATGGTACCCCATTTTGGGGTGGGTGAATTCACCACACATTTTGGAACCTATTTTAGTGGGGATTTGGATGTTCACTGAGGGTACGGGTTTTCAATCCCAACGGCCAAATGATGCGCGACAGTTTTTGGTTTTAACTGAAGAAGTGCAAGAAGCCAAGCCCTTCAGCTTGAGCCGATTGGATAAGGGCAAAAGGTATGACCACCCCCCGCATGGTTGGCTTCGTGCTGGTTGCCTGCCCACGACCACCCGACCGGGCGCTCACTTTTGAGAGCCAGGAAAGGGCGCAAGCAACATCCATTTGTGCAGAGGGGATGATAGCAAAGCTCAAATTGTTGCACAACGGTAGAACTGTATAACCACATTTCAAGTGATCAAACGCCGGCAGGCAGTATGCCTTCAGATGCGCGGCCCGTGGTGCATGAAGGGGACCAGCAGGCGGGGCTGACAGGCGGTCTACATTGGACGGACTGGTGAATGCATTGCTTCAGCTTCATAGAGCCTCTTCCTTATTTGGCTTCGTCTGAACATGTTATGGTTGCCGGATCTTGCTTGGATACTTAGATTTGGCTTAGTAACAGGAATTTGTTGGATTAGTACAAAATCAACTTTGGATAAAAGCACCGCGCTGGACAAATGAGCAACTACGCTCCTGACAACCGGCCTAAGCCCCGCACCGCTCAACTTCGTAGCTGCTAGCTCTGGCTCCGTAAGTGTTCGAGCTGCGCGCAAGACAATCAAATCTAGTGTGGATGGACAAAATCCTGCACCACCCAAGAAACCCTGGAATGATGATTGCCCTGTACATACCAACAAGCAGTGGCTTTTCATGGTTTCAAGCGGTGCGAATTGGATTTTGTCCACCCACAGTATGAAGCTTGCTCCTTTGCAAGCAAACCCGCTCAAAGGAACTGATCCGCGCGGGGAAGCATGCGGAAGCCCTGGCTGCAGCACATTGAAGCCCTGGCCCATGCTGGATCAGCTTCGTCACAAACCTACAGGTAGCACCCTTAAGTTCTGCTGCGAGCACAAAGCGCTCGGCAGAGGCAAAGGAAGCAACCATCATTTGGGATGAGAAAAGCAGACAAGCCCTCAGCAGCAGATTGAACAAGGAACCTCATTTGGAGGGTTCAACGGTACGCAACAACTTACAATTAGCAGCGTTATCCCCCTAATAAGCATATTAATGCCGCTAGTCAGTTATGCATAGACACCATCAATAGATGGTACAACCCTGCTACTTTTTCGGCCGAGCCTCTCCTGGAAAGGGAGGTGCACGGGAAGGGGGCAGCAAGGTATCTTTATACTGATCATTAAATCATCAGTGATTAATCGCCGCCGATTTCTCATGGAGGGACATGATTCAGCGAATGAACTATGGCCAAGCGTCTCAGCGGTGCCGATGGAGACACGTACCCGCGAGCGCTGCACGGCATTTCTCGTACAACGCTTCGATGTAGCATGATTGCGTGAGACAGTGAACCAGCCAGAAAATACCCGATATACACATACGTATGTATGTATGCGCTGTAAAAAGTAAAATGCTGATAGGGGATATATGGAGTCGATATGTACAGGTTACTTGAAAATGGGGGGGACTAAAGGGAACCAACATTTTGAAGGGCCCTATTTTGTGTAGGGCCCGTTGCTGGCGGTTTATGTGCTTCTCGAGTTGGGTCATGTGTTCTGTGGTCATAGGCAAAACTTGAGTGAAAGCCTGGCAGCTTCAACACTTTCCTTGTTGTGCTCTCATTGATACGTTCTCTGCCAACATTCGCACGCATTGGGCAGACTTGGCATTGTCAATGCCGTTAGATAGCATTGCGCAACACCACTCAATGGAGCAAACCATCCTTCACCCTTGCCCTCGCACAATGTCCGAGGGCTAGAAGGCAAAGGATTTCCGCGTCCAGCCACTCAGCAACTACTCGTGTGTGTCAGTACATAAACACTGGGATCAACTTTTCTTTGTGGTGGCCTGGCGGTTTCCTGGCTCAACACACAGACACACCCCATACTGATACCTAGGGTGTCACCTGCAAAAGGCATCAACGTGCAAATTGCATGGCTTCCCCCGTCGCGAGGCTTTGGCCGACGAGCTGGTGGCAGCACAGGCGAAGCCCATTAACTTTTTGGGTGGATTAAGATAAACCCATCCGTTTTTAGGGCAAGCTGTTGGCTTCAGCTACCTTTTTTTGGAGAATGGCCTCAACCAGCGGCATCATCTATCCATAGTTTCTTTTGCTTTCAGGGAGAACAGCTGACTCAATGCACCCCCAATGGCCACATCTCTCCAAATCATGCGTGGCCGAGCCAGTTTTCTACAGACCTTCAGGCTTCAGCGTGGCTGTGCTTTCTTTGCCTTGCGGTTTTGCCCTGTTTTCTTGCCCTGTTTAACCTGAGATTTCGTCGTCTTTGGCCAGATGTGCGGGTAGCTTGAGGGCCTGCCAGCTGGGCGCTTCAGCGCTGGGCCGTTGATGCAGGTCACCCAGATCGATGCACTTCGACAGCTGGACAGAAAGGCGGGCGAGTGGAAGCAATGCACGTGCTCCCCGTTCAGCTTGGTCGCTCCCAGCCATCTGGTTCCTTAGGTCTTTATATCTTTTTAGTTGGTGGAACAGTTATTTACTTTTAGCAGGGATCTGAGGATCAACTGTGCTAGAAGGTTCCCCATTGTCGCACGCAAATTCCTCAGGCCTTGGGAGAGGTAGACTTGGAGCTGAGAATTGAGGCATGTTTTGGGCCTAGGAGAAGGAGATGAAAGAGGCGACGCAACAAGTCTTCAAAGACTTCCTGGACAGGTCCCTCGAGGAACCTGTGGGCATGTTCCAGTCTACAACCTGCCAGTTGGAAGGCAGCGAGGTTACAGTTGACATCTTGGAATCCATGCCCCGATCGTGGTGTTGGCTCGATTTGTCTCTCCGACTCTCCTTCCACTCGTAGTGTCCTGTGAAAGATCAGGCAACCAGAGGCTCCCTTTCTGCAGCAATCAAAATCTGACATGCCAGCTGACTCTGCCCCTTGCAGCTGGTTGTTTCTGATTATTTTCGGCTTTCCGCGCAGGAGGGACGCAGAAAATTGAGGTTGTTCGAGGAGACGCAGGAAGGCAGCAGGAGGGTTTGGGAAAAGCAAGGACGTGTGACCTCGCCCAAGTTGGGCGCGCCTTGTTAGGTGAACCATCATGCTTCAACCAGATATGCGTGAGTCATTTTTTTTTGGTCGAGGGACGCACGGGTGAGCATTGCTCTCAATCCCTTTGTCAGGGCCAAACCGTTTTCAGTCGATTGGTGCGTGAATGCTGGGGCCTGGGAACTTCCAAGCACACTATTACTAAATCTTCCTCATTTTATTCCCCAACAGCTGAAAGCTCTGGGGTCTTAGCCCAGGTAGGCTCCGGGGTGGTCCGGGGCGGCCCTGAGGTAAGGCTCCACGAGGGTTCCACCAGGGTTCCACCAGGGTTCCACCAGGGTTCCACCAGGGTTCCACCAGGGTTCCACGAGGTTCTGCAAGGGCTGCGGAGTGGTGCGAGCACTAAAAGAGCACCGCGTGCTGTTGGGGATATCACCTGAGCTTATTTTTTTGTGCAGTGTACGGCAGTAGATGCACTGTACGCAGCGCTACCTACAGAGTTCTGTTCAATCGTCTCTTCAAAGCAGGTTGTATGGATATTCAAAGTCTAATTCCTAATACTTGCTTGAAGTCTCGAAACTTCCATGATGATCCAAGAATTCCATTGGTCATGTGTTCGAATCGCAGCCAGAGCGTTATATTTTTTGCTTCGGAGGTCGGGAGTATCTGGCCACCCGGGCGAAGAGCTACGTGGAGAGGGCTTGAGGGTTGAGAACCCCAGGCGGCTCTGAGCTCATTGGCATGGCGCGTTACCTGTGTAAGGCCTTGGATCAAAGACACTGTGAAAGAACGCCACCTTCACAGAGTTTATGTTGCTTCCAGAATGTTTCTTCCAGCTTGCTGCCTTCCAGTTTGGCACCTTGCAGTTTGGTACATATCAGCTGGTGAAGCCATTCTCTTTGTCGCATCCGGGATCCGGTTCTTCAAAGCAATTGTCAGCAACTTGCCGGCCCTTTCCCATCCCCCAAGACTGGAGTCTTGCTACGGTTGCTCCAACTGTTGCAAGTGGGCCAATGTTCAACCCGGCATTTGGCGCCGCTAGGAGCTGAACCGTGGCATGAGCCACTCGGCAGCTCTTGCGGAGGCGCGGCAGAGCTGATCCGCGCGGCTTCCATGCAGATCCAGCATGTTGATAGCTCAGTTGTCAAATGAACCATTTGCTCGAAACCGATTCGGGTAGATGAAGCTTGAGGGAAATAATGTCCTTGCCATACATGGGGGCGGATATGCGCATGTCTAATTCTTGAAGCATGGCTCCGGGTAGACCATTTTAATACCGATCGGTTTTGATTCTGACTCACATAGTGATGGTAGTGCGGGGCTCACACTGGCACTTTGCATTGAGGGTGGCAACGCCCTGGCGTCAAAGGGGTCAGGATTAGCGTTGTGAGTGTGATTACGTCACGCGCCATGCGGCATGCTGGTCGTGAATCAGAGTTATTCTGGTCATTTTGCCAACTTCCCCTACCTTTTCCCATTCGCATTCATGCAAGTTGGCCATTTCTGCTCTTGTCTTTCCTCATCAAGTTCGGCATATACAGGTTGGCCATGTCTTTCAAAGAGCCGCAGGGATTCGCCTCCGCGAAGACGCCTTTCATCAGGCCCGCGGCGACCTGGCCCGCGCCAGCGAGGCGGACGGAGGGAGAGAATCGGGGGGAAGGGAACCCCGAGACAAATCATCCATCTTGACTGCTATTCTGCTGGGCTGGAGCTTTAATACTTTAACTTTTCGGTTGACATCAAGTTGGTTTCCACTAAACCCCAAAAATGTGAAAAACTCTTTGCAGGGGGGTTGTTGCAGCAACAAAGCCATTCGCTTTGGTTTCCTTGGGAATGAAATTGTTTTATTCGTCTTCCCAGAGGGGCCTGTGTACTTCCATGTTGGTTGGAGGGTAGATAACTGTTTTAGTTTCTGAGGGAATGAGAAATGGATCGACCCCTATAAACCATTCCCCAGGGTTTCCTAGTTTCCTTGTAGGGAATCTCCAGGTTTATGCAAACCATCCAGCCGATTTGGTTTCCTTGATTCGGGAATCCCCAAATGGTTCATTCCCAACCGATCGCACCACAAGTTTACTCACGATATGGGTGTGTCTCTTTTAGGGTACCATCTCGGGGTGGCTAAAAAAAGGACGTCCGAAAGGACACCCATTTGCGGGGTCCAAAAGAGACACAACACCATATATGGGTCTGTCTTCTTTGGAATTGATACCCCTTTGTGGTTGGCTAAGGGAAACCAAAAGGAACACCGAAGTCATTCCTAAAATGTCTGCTTCCTGTTTTCCCAGGTTTTGTGGTCTGTGTTTGGTTTTGAAGTAAAGCCTGTGGATAGAAAGATGGTATCACGGACTCACAGACAGGATGACTTGCACAACCATGCTTATGTCTGTTCCTTGCATAATGTTTACAGATGTAGCTAGGTCTGCGAGCTTGTACTTTGAGTTGCATAAACCCGGATGCTTTTCCGACCTCGTCCGAGCGCTGGTGTGTCACAAACCAAACCACTGGCCTTTGGGTAGCAGGTGCTGGCAGGCAGTTGAAAGGCTTTAGCCTCAAGAAAGCCTTGCAGGATCAACCATTCCTGCGTCTTTCATCGGATGGGTTCAAGGAATGTATTGCAACTAGGGATGGTTGGCAGCGAGAAGGTCTGACCTCTTTCGACACACACACACACACCTCTTCCAGGCCCTTTGCAAGAAGGGGCCATGTCGACAGCCAGCTGAACGCTGTTCCAAATCGAGGAACCCCTCTCAGCTTGTTGAGTTTTCGAACGCAGTATGTGTTTTGGGATGTCCGTCTTGACCTTGTTGTAGAGGATATGGCCATCCTGGCATCTCTTCTTTGGCTCAAATTCTCATATTGTTTGCTAACGTTGGGACAAGTATGTTAACCCCATGCTTTCTGACTATGTTTCCCACAAACTCCACACAGCAATCTAAAAGCAGGAGCATCATTAGTAGCATCCTCTCCATTTGTTTCATCTCGCAAACCGGACAATGGACCATGATGGAAGAAGTTCAATTTGTTGGAAAGTAGTCTTTCCGGGTTTCTCCATTCGATAGAGAGCTGTGCAGGATGCGTCTCTCCTATCGAACAATCTTAAAGTTCCCATCAAGCAGACACGGGCATTCTGGAAATCAAAATCGCGGGGAGGGGTGTCAGAGAAGAGAGCAGAATGATCCTCATGCTGGAGCGCGGATTGGTGGGGAAACGAATTGTCATGTATTGGTCTGTCTTTTTGGATGGTACCCTGCTTGGGCTTGGGTTTGAAGGGAGACTAGAAATCATCTTTCTTTGCGGGACCAAGTAATCAAAGAATCACCAGCCGGATTTGGGTTTTCCTGTTGGTTCCCTTTAAGACCGCCACAAACTGGGGTACCTTCCCCATTCTTTCCAGGGATCCTTCTTTCTAAAAGCCTCCCGAGACCCAGGGGAAAACGGTCGGTTGTTGGAAAGAACAATGGTTGAAGAGAATGGAAAAGGAATCACCCCCTAGAAGTCTATGAGTCATTTCACCTCCACGAGACTGGTTAGAGCTCCGATCTCGTGGCTGTGGAAACTACCTAGAACAACCAGCGGGTCCCCAAGCAAAAAAATGGGCACACCCACCTGGCTGTGGGCCAAAACCAATGGTTCCATTTTGGTGGGGAGGTGAATTCACCACCCATTTTTTAGAACCTGTTTTAGTGGTTGGATGGAATCGGATGTTCACTGGGGGCTAGCCGATTTGGATATTGACCCATGGCCACCGGGGCGAGCGTGGCGTTCGCGGTGTTCGTGGCCAGTGGGCCAGGCGAAGCTGCAGAGCCATGCGGCCCAACTCCGGCAGCAACGGGCCAGGGGGCCAAAGGATCCCCGGGTGTGGTATTAATCATATGTGTTTGGATATATATATATATATATATACACACACACTATATATATGTATATACATATATATATATATATATATGTATATACATATATATATATATATAATACTATAGAGATATATAAGCATATATACATATATACATATACCTATATACATATATTACATAACATACTTATACACATATGTATATATCTATATAGTTGATGTATTTGACGTTGAAACAACACCGATGAATATCAGATGTCATTGACGTTTGATTTCGGCATGAGGGTAGGAACCATGCGACAAGCAACCCGTGGTTTTTGCACGAGCCGCGGGTTGAAGGCTGGGAGTTGTCAACGTCAGAGGTTTTGGATGGCAGCCTACCGCTTTTGGGCTGGCTTTCTGAGTGGTGAAGTACTGACTGGGAAAGAGCAAGCCAAAAGCATGGAGACTCTCGCTTAGCGTGGTGTTGCAGACTGTGAGCCATTTGGACTCCAGATAGGAATCGGAACCCCCAAATTGGTGGTTTTCCTCTTGGTTTCCCTTTGAAGCCGAGGTGAAAAAGGGTACCCAAAAATTGACGAGCCAGCCATGTAGAGCTGGTCCATGCCTCCAACCTGTACACCTTAGGTGCAGAAGGATGCGCAGCAGATCCAGCTGGCACGCCTCAAGGCGCCTCGGGTTTTTTGGGGCCGTCCACGCAAGGTTCCCCTGGAGCCCTGGTTCTGATTTAGTCCAACCGGCTAGCCTATAGTCGGCCTGGCCGTGGCTGCGTTTGCCCTTTGCGCGGCCGGTACCCACGGCTTGCTTGAGAGCATCCGCAGGGTCCTTTAGGGCTGTCCCCGCGCGACTCCCACCTAGATCGAATCAATTCGCAAAGGATGCCACGTGCTGCAACACCTGGAATGCTCGACATCGGAGTGATCAGCACCGGCTGGCAATCCTCGGAGTGATTAGCACGGGGTCAGGCAACGGAAAATCGATGTTTGAGCGTTCTATGGAATTTAAGATGCCGATGCTGTCATGCAAGTCTGTCTCCTTGCTGTGAACTCGACATTGCCGGTGCTCTCTTTTGATGCACGTGATGCTCAGGACCTGGTGGTCAAAGGCTCTCAATAGCCCGTTCCAACTGTTTTTTTTTCTTCGCATGATGTTGCGAGGTAAATGCTTGCGGCTTGCAAGACGGGCCTTCCGCTCGCTTCAGCTTGGGTTCCCTGGGAATCCGTAGCAGCTATTGAAGTCTCTGACATGGAGCTCGGCCGGAGGCACTTCCGTCCAAGCCGGACGCCCCCAAGCTTTCAAGTACCTTTGGCTTTCTTTGGCTTCCCCCAATCCTTTCAACCTTTCACTTGCCATTGATTTCACTTTGCTTCCCAACAACTGGACTACCAGAGTTAAATTGTCCTTGACCTTTGATTCCCAACAGCACAACTGGATTACCAAAGTGAAATTTCAACACGACATGACATTTGACATTTCCAAAGTGAGATCCCAACATGACAGCATGACATTGATACTAGACAACATGCCATTTGAACAAACATAAAGTGTTTTTTCCCTTGACCCTTGGTTTCCCAACAGCACAACTGGATAACCAAAGTGGTTTTACTTGACACCATGACTGAGGGCATCCTCCGGTTTGCATTTCCCTTCGTCAAATAGTTGTCCGTCACGACTGCTCCGCAGGTTGCCTGGGAGCTGATCCAGCTGCAGCGGCGCTACAGCCAGCTGCTGGAGAAGCAGATGCTGCCGAGGCGGGAGCTCCCGGAGCGACCTCCCGGACTGCGTGGAATTGGAAGGGGAGGTGCTGGGGAGGCGAAGGATGGACCGTGTATGCCATTGGCTTGATTGGTTTGTGAAGGTGGTTTGGTTCTTGATGGCTTGGTGGTTTGGTGGTTTGTTTGTTTGTTTGTTTGTTTGGTTTTTTGTTATTTGTTTTGGTTCTTATCGCTGATTTGATCATTGCTTAGTAGAGCTTCGCGTTCTCCATGAGTTCAGGGCGGTCACTTGGACGCGCGTGATCGCAGGTCAATGCTGACGAGCTTCGATGCCTCTCTGGTGGAACGACTCACAAAGGAGGCTTGTGGCATTCGACCAATGCTAAGTTCTCGTTTGTCCTTTGGGGGGTCACCGAGTAGAAAAATGGAGTCTGGGTTCTTAAGAAGCTGCATCTCTTGGGAGGCCCACAGGGTCGTGCAATCCAACTGGGGGATTGCAACTATGAGTGGGTAGGGCATCCAATCATTCGGTCTCTGACTGTGACGATCGAGCGCCGCAAGCAACCGTCTGTGTGACAAATGGAGCTTAATAGACCAGAGTATTGGAGTAAGCCGTATCAGGGGTTTGCTTATCATCCTGACCATCACAATCATCATCATCATCATCATCATCATCATCATCATCATCATCATCATCATCATCATCATCATCATCATCATCATCATCATCATCATCATCATCACCATCGTCACCATAGCCACCATCATCCATCATCCATCATCGTCACCATCATCATCAAGAAACTCCGATCTTGGCCTTTCACATTCCAAGCATTGGCTGCGTGATTATGAGCATCGTCACAGACGTCATTTTGATCGTCCTGATCGTGGCTGCATGTAGTCGTCGTTGTTGCGCGTCGCGGTCGTCGAGGTCGTTTGGGTCGCCATGGTCGCCATGGTCTTCGTGCTCGTGCTCGTCATGGTTTTGGTCCCCGCCTGGTCGTTGCCCTCGTCGCTGCCCTTTTCTTTACCCGCTCCCTCAGCGTCATCATCGCTGCTATCACCATCACCTTCATTCCAACCCCCATCATCAACGCCATGCGGAACCATCATGTGCTGGGATCAGATGCACATCACCAGCATCATGTTCATGATCGGCAACACCATCTCTCCAACACCATCACCAGCATCATGCTTATGGTCAGCTGCCCAGTTTGTGATTTCATAAGTGAAGAGCGGAGTAAGCTAAATCATGGTGCTAACCATGGGAGATGGTTAAGTACTACGGCCAGATTTGAGCCTCTGCCAGGCTTGGTACACGGAGGCCCGCAGCTTCGCGCAGAACTCGGGCAAGCCTGAGGCGCGACGTTTGCGTGGCCGGGTTGGTGGGGGCGGCGATGCATCAAAATTTGAAGCGTTGCAAACTTTTGCAGTTTCATGGCCCTATACAACTGGTTTCCTTGTCACTTCATTGCAATGCCCCTCGCAACTTAGAAATCCTTGCAACTGGAGCAGTGTTATTGGCAAATGCAATGAGCTTCCTTGCCTTGGAAGGCAAGAAACCGTTTTTCTGTCAGAGCTCCATTCACCAGATTGGCGAAGCTCAACTGTTGGATCGTCTGGAAAGCGCATGGGGTGTATCACTTCATGAGGAGAACCGGGGCCCCAAAACGGATTTCGGTTTTCCCATGTGTTCCTGTTGGATTCCCCTTAAAAAACCCCCCAAAAAAGAGGTCCCCCCAAAAAGACGCACCCACCTGTTGTTTAGTCCACGCACAACTGATATCAACTGGCGTGCTCGTCGTCACACGTTCCCATGGCGGCACACGGCTGGGAGCTGAGACGAAGCCGCAAGGCAGATCTTCCGAGAAATGCATTGGCCCTGCGAAAGTGTAGGTTTCCTCTTGAAATCCTGGAGGTATGCGAGGCCAATTTGCTGCTCTCAAGGTTTGCCAGGAGAGATCCTTTCGCCATGTCCGGCGGCTTCCAAAACGAGGGCGCTAGCGCTGGCCGCAAGGACGTGGAGACCTCCAAGTTCTACACACTCTTGGACACGAATAAGAATGCGTCGGAGGCCGATATCAAAAAGGCGTACAAGAGGGTGGCGCTCAAGACGCACCCGGACAGGGGCGGGGACCCAGAGAAGTTCCGAGCGATCACCCGCGCCTACGAGGTTCTGAGTGATGCGGAGCAGCGCGCTCGCTATGACCGTTTCGGAGAGGAGGCCGTGCTTCCTGATCGGATGGACGTTTTCCCGTTCCCGGACATGTTCTTTTTGCCGAGTTCCAATCGTAGGCGGAAAACAAAGAGCCTGGTGCAGCCGCTGAACTTGACCTTGGAGCAGATTTACCAGGGCCAGACGCAGAAGATGCCTGTCACCCGCCAGGTGCTGGACCCAACGAGCGTTCGTAGCTGCGGCAGCTGCGAGGGCCAGGGGGTGAAGACGCGGGTGGAGCGGGTGGAGCCCTTTCCGCATATGCAGATTCTGCGGTCCCAGTGCGACGCTTGCCAAGGCCAGGGGAAGAGTTTCAAGACCACACAGCAGCAGGAGGTCCTGGAGGCATGCTTGGTCAAATTTGGTAAGCGGATCATGCGCTAAGGGAAACCAAGAGGATCTTTCAAACAATAGCGTATTTGTTTTACAGAAACGGACGCTGCATGGGCCCCTATTTTACAGTTTTTTTTTTGCAAACACAGTAGTTTCAGACATGTGATGCCAACGCTCCAGAATCTATGATGCACATGGATTCGTTATTTGCATTTGTTTCTGTCTCTCCTTGCCAAATAAATAAGCCGAGTGGGAGTTTGACCGGGGCCGCGTCTGGGGGTCGGTAGGGGGAGTTGAAACAAAAGGAGGCAAGTTTTTTTGTTTGTTATGGACCCCCCCACCCCCCCCACGAGCCCCAAGATTCAGCCAAGGATCACGGATCACTGGGCCCCCAACATGCAGGCCAGGATTTGGATCGCCTTGAATGTTTGTTTACATACGCTTAGCCAGCATTTGCTGCTTGAGCATTTGCAATAGTAGCACCATGGTGGCAAGCCTCTTGCGCAATTGATGATACAAGATTAGCAGGGTTTGCTAAAAGCAGTGGTAGCTCAAATCATCTCTGCAACTAGCACCGACATTGATTGTTGCTTTCCATTCACCTTTAATGAACAGACACCTGTAGCTCTAGAAGACATATTCTATGCATTTTCTTGTCGGCCCATTAGCGTGTAGTTACTCATGGCTTGCCTTGTGCATCACACTCCCTGCGCTTACAAGGCCAATAGGCAGCAGTGTCAGGCTGCTAGCTTGCTATTGCTTAGCATACAGAGTTGAGCTATCACCAGGAATGTGAACCTCGGTTCAGTGAAAGCAGTATTGCTTCATCAGACAGCTATGGTTTCGTTGTTGTCCTGAACATAAGTTTTTGTTGGTTGACCACACGAGACCTATTCAGAAATTGTGTTGATGACCTATGGAAGCTGCGAGTAGAAAACAAATCTAATACCGCCCATACTAGCTGTTGCATGCCACGAGTAAGCATAGGAACTGGAGAGCCTATCCCTGATGATGTAGAAACTAGTGTTGGTGGTGGTCTGCCTCATTTCCTGATCTACTGGCAGCCATTTCCCCACATGAGCTACCAGCAACCCATGGTCAATGGAAAGCCTGAACAACCCTTGGCTCAGGTAGCAGCTTGGTAGCCTATGGTAACTGCCTTGCTTTCAGAAGGAAGTGGATCACCGCAACTTGAGGCCTTCATTCTACCCACCCCTTAGAGCTACAGGCGTGCAAAGTGAAATTCCAAGATGCTGGTTCCAGCAAATGTTTCTGATGATCCAGGGTGAGTTTCTGGCAGCTGGGGTTTGTGACCTAGGCTTGGTTGAGTTATTCAAGCTGGGATCGGGCCCCTGGCTCCCAGATGATGGGGAGTTCCATCAAGATCTGTCAAGCATCAGTCGGCTAGTCTGTGAACTGCAATGATCGGAGTACTCTCACCCTTGAAATGTCCATACTGCTGACAGTCAAGTTTTGCAAGGCAGGCCAGCCCACAATCCATTTGACAACACATGCTTGTTTGCAATGAAAGCAGTTCCAAGAAATGTCAGAAATATCACTACAGGCTTTAAATGTTGGCAAGACATTGGGTTCCCTTCGGTTCTTCTCTGATTGTTTGGGGTGACGAGCTCTGACGCGTCTGAAGACCTTACGCAAGTCAAATGAAGTACAGATGCAGCGCAATGATTTCGCATTGCTCGTTTCGGCGGAGACATTGCAAAGCCAGAGGCAACAGGGCGTCCAACTCTCATTGAACCGGCGTTGAATCGCCCACGCCTGGAGGTCAACATCCAGAAGGGCGTGCCGGATGGCAAGAAGATTGTATTCACCGAGAAGGCGGATGAGCACCCAGATGCCGACACCGGGGACGTGATCTTCGTGGTGAAGGAGCAGAGGCATCTGGTCTTCAAGCGGCGCGGCGCGGATCTGTTTGTGGAGAAGACCATTTCCCTGTCAGAGGCTCTATGTGGCTTCACCCTTGAGCTTGAGCACTTGGATGGCCGAAAGCTGATGATCAGGTCGGCGCCCGGGGACGTTGTGAAGCCCATACAAGGCTTCGACCCCCTGGAGGGTCACGAGACCAAGATGCAGCGGGAGGTCATCGAAGACGCAGATTCGGGCCTCGACACAGCAGAGGCCACGGCAGACGAGACATTGAAGAGCTGCGAAACGCAGAAGGGCGCCGATGGTGTTGTGACCGGCCAGCGTGCCTTGTCGAAGCACAGGGAGGAGACCCCAGCCAACACATGCAAGGGCTCCATGTACTCAGACCAAACTGCCTTCAACCCTCGCGTGATGAAGGCCGTGAGGGGTGAGGGTTTGCCCACCTTCAAGAACCCTTTACAGCATGGGAACCTTTTTTTGATCCTCGACATTGAGTTCCCAGACTTCCTGCCCCAAGAGGCCAGGCAAAAGCTGTGCCAACTCCTGCCACCCTTGGAGAAGAAGTGGGAAGAAGATACCTCCGTGGAACTCCACCAGGTTGTGCAGATGGATCCGGTGGCGTCCTACAACAGCAACAAGGTGAACATGTCAGCAGGCGAGGAAGACGAAGACGAGGATGGGCCTGGTGGCAACGGTGCTCAGTGCAAGCAAATGTGAGAAGCATGCGCCTTGCGCCCCAAACTGTGCTCTCGGTCGTTAGCCGGAGGGGTGTCCTTCGGGCAAGCATAGCCTGCTCTGGGAGCCATCACCGCACAGCAGCTCTCAATCGGCCACACTTGCAGCGTCTCGGCTTGGCAACTTCGCCAGCAAGACTGTGACCCTCTGGAGAACAAGCGGCACCTTCAAGCTTGTTGCGGAAAGCGGAAAGACGAGTTGGCTTGCCAAGGAATCCTTTGAGGCACGGCGGTCCTTTTCAAGCCACCTTTGAGGAAACATGGTTTCTGCAAAAGTGTCGGGCTTCTTTTGGGGCTGCACTTCCATTTTTTCCCCCTAAAGAGATGGCAACAGGAGAACCCCCTGACATGCTGATATCTCATTTGAAAGAAAGCACCCCCTAGAAGTGGTTCTGGACTCCTCTTCTATGCCAAGCTTATTCGGACAGCTCCGCAGCATGCAGTAACCCTGGAATTGGATGATTTATCGCTGCGAAAGAGTCTAAGAATTAGGGACTAATCCTTGTTACCCCATTTTCTCTCTCTCTCTCGATGCAATGTTCCCTCAGGCGACCGCCCAGAGTTGCGAGAAGTCAGTTGCTGTGGCGACTATGTTGATGTGATGCGGTTGGAAACCCAAAAACAGATGCAAGCGAACCAACCACATCCATCACAAAGCCCCGGTCAAGTGCCGCATTTTTTTTCCGGCATCTCCAGTTCCCTGCTTGCAACATGTTCATCCGTACGCAAAGGGACAGTCGTCCAGCACCTCCAGCATCAACCCACGACGGGCTTTTTTTCGCATCCCCTCGGATTGTGATTGGCTCACTTCGGCGCAGCGGAAGGGGCGCTTTCGAAGCCTGGCGGGGAAACGGCTTCGATTCCCCGTAGATTGCTGAAATTTTCCGGATCCGAGGCCAAAGGCTTTTGGGTTCCTCAAGTTTGGAACACCCGACTCAACAACAAGCAAATACGACCAGCGATGGCGTATGACAGGGTCTTCAGATGTTTGCAGCTTGTTTGGCTTCTTGTTTCTTGCACTGGGAATTCACCGGAGCAACCCTCCCCGCCTATTTTGCCCGGCAGCCGCGACCTCACAGGTAGACTGTGAATTTGGGGATACATGCGGGTTCCTTTCATAGGGATCCCACCGACATTTGTTTTTCTTTGACTCGCTAAGGGCAAAGGCCGCTTTGGCTTTATCAATTATCGTGCTTTTACCTCCTTTTAGCCCGCGCGCACTTGCTTTACGGAGCATTTTGGAGACGGTGCATTTTATTATGCCAGTTTATGAGCTGTCAAAAGCACAATGTCAAGTCCCTTGCAGCTTTGCAATTAAACGTTTTGCTGAAATAGGACGACATCGAAGCACTCACCAAGTCCTATAGATTGAATGCACTTGAGGAAAGCACGTAGACGTTGCCTGTCAGTGCCGAGTGTTATACTCTTGCAAATTCCAAGATTGTGCCTCTTGATCAACGTAATCTTGCTTGCTGTTCGCCATGAGGGCTGAGGGAGGTGTCCAGACTGGTTTCGGGGGAGATCCCAGTATATCATTATTATCACTACCATCATTGACATTATCATTGTTACATTACTATCTTTCACACCATAGCGGCATCATGTGAAGGACATGTGGAATCATCATGGCACAAGGTTGACTTAGCTCGGAGCACCTGATGCGAGACTGCGCAAAAATGCGGTGCTTTTCACCTATGGCTCAAGCAACTCACGCGATGCACTTGTGATTACCTTTCACGGCTCCGTGTCCAATAGCGAACTACAGGCTGGGAGTTTCTTGCATTGCCAAGCATGCCTAGAATGAGCGACATATGCCAGAGTACTTCATCTTCGTGTGCGAGTCTCGTTGTGTGTGTGCGTGCGTGCGTGCGTGCGTGCGTGCGTGCGTGCGTGCGTGCGTGCGTGGGTGGGTGGGTGGGTGGGTGTGTGTGTGTGTGTGTGTGTCTGTGTGTCTGTGTGTCTGTGTGTCTGTGTGTCTGTGTGTCTGTGTGTCTGTGTGTCTGTGTGTGTGTGTGTTTGTGTGTTTGTGTGTTTGTGTGTTTGTGTGTTTGTGTGTTTGTGTGTTTGTGTGTTTGTGTGTTTGTGTGTTTGTGTGTTTGTGTGTGTGTGTTTGTGTGTTTGTGTGTTTGTGTGTTTGTGTGTTTGTGTGTTGTGTGTGTGTGTGTGTGTGTGTGTGTGTGTGTGTGTGTGTGTGTGTGTGTGTGTGTGTGTGTGTGTGTGTGTGTGTGTGTGTGTGTGTTTGTGTGTTTGTGTGTTTGTGAGTGAGTGAGTGAGTGAGTGGGTGGGTGAGTGAGTGAGTGAGTGAGTGAGTGAGTGAGTGTGTGTGTGCGTGTATGTTGTTGCCCTTTCTCAATACGATGTTGGACGCTGCTCCAACAGAATCTGGCAGCCTGCAAAGGGAATCATCGGAGCGTCACAGTCTGGTGCAACCAGGAATGAGATCGCTTTGGTTTGGTCAGTATGCACAGGTCCCTCTCATTCATCTTTGTTTTGCAACAAGGGGCAGTCGCCTTTGTTTTGCTTGGCTTTTCCATTGTTTTCCTTTGCCTCTCCTTTGTAATCATTTGCTTTTCCTTTGCTTTCCTTTGCTTTCCTTTGCTCTCCTTTGCTCTCCGTGGCTTTCCGTTTCTTTCCTTTGCTTTCCTTTGCTTTCCTTTCCCTTTGATAGCTTTGCTTTGCTTGGCGTTTCTTTGCTTTTCATCTCTTGTTTGCCTGCCTAACTGCCTGCCTGCCTGCCTGCCTTGCTTGCCTGCCTGCCTGCCTGCCTGCCTTGCTTGCTTGTTGCCTCCCTGCCTGCCTGCCTGCCTGCCTGCCTGCCTGCCTGCTTGCTTGCTTGCTTGCTTGCTTGCTTGCTTGCTTGCTTGCTTGCTTGCTTGCTGGCTCTTTGCAATTTTCTTTGAGTTGCACAACTGTGAGAAGGGTGCAACAACTGCTTTGTTCCAACGCCATGCTTTGCCCGCAGGCCGTGTCGTGAGTTTAGTGCAGCAGGTCTCAAGGTTATCAGTTGCCCATTTCTCATCAGCACTTTGCCGCAGGCATGGTCTGCCGACTAGCGACTCAATGCCGTGCGCCCAGCAACAGTGAAGCATGTGCAGAATGTTCAACTTCTACAGTGTGGTGGTCTTGCCAGGAGGCACCGAATGCCGGCCGACCATTTGTGGGCAAAGCAAAGCGCCAGGGTTCCACTTTTTGACTACCCCAAGATAGACTTAAACCCAGGGGTTCTCCTTTTTGGGGGAATGAACCACCTCTGAGAGTCAAAAAGTGGAACCCCGCAAAGCGCAGTCTTGCCTTGAGGCTGCTGTGGCTGCAGCCTGGAATTTGGCGCCCACTTCCTGCTCAGCCTGGGACCCATTGGGCATTTGTGACACGACGGGCAAAGATAGGACTCGGTCCCCTGAATTGGTAGGTTTCGTTTTGGTTTCACTTTCAATACCAACGAAAGGGGGGTCCATCATTTTTGATGTTGGCGCTCGTTTCTTTGACAGGCGTAGAAATTCGGCGGTTGCCATTCGTGTGCGCATGCTTTGTCCAAAGAGTTTCATGGCCGAAGCGACCCAGCGCCAGGCACCTGGAGACTGAGCAGATCCCATGAGTTTATTGCAATAGGACGTCAGCAGTTGAAAGGTCCATTCACAGCATGGGAACCAACACCTGTGGTGTCGAGCTTTGCTTCCATCGGATGGTCATTTGGCCTTCGGTGCTTGCAGAGGCCTCAACATGGTGCGGCGGAGCGCTCAGGGGCGCTGCTTTGCGCGGTCTGCAAACCTGAAAGCGACGGCGAAAGGAGACCAAGACAAGCTGGAGTAGCTCAGGGTGCTGCAAGGGAAGTCGGTTCAAAGCAAAACCTGGAGCCTTTTCAGCATGCCTTGCAGGAAAAAAACCGCTAGCTCGCGACCTTTGATCATGCCTTATTAGGGAACTCACTCTTAACATGCGTGTTCCTGCCTGCAACCTTCTTTCTGACTGGCGGCCCAGGTGCCTGATGTTCATCTTGGCGGCCTGTGACGCAGTGATCCATGCCCGCCAGGATTTGCAGCTTGGCAAAAAGGCGCATCGCGCATCGTCGGGCTGGAGGATTTGTTGGTCCAAAGCATCGCAAGGATGCAGGAGCGATTGATCATGGCTCCAGTTTGGTGGCGATGTCAATGTCCAGATGGGCAAGAGTGGCTTACCAACGCGAAGCACACAATCTAGGACTTTTGCATCTGTGTGGATTGTTTCTGTGCGTGCTGGATTTCTAAACAGTCGTTCTTCCATTGGCTCGGCGGCCAGTCGGGATGCTTGAGGCCTCTGTATCCAGAAGTCATGCTGGAACTGACTGACTCGAGCTCAGCCCGAGGTACTTGCAAATCGAGGGCAGCTTGGCGGAGAAGGCGCGGTGAAACGCCCTACGCTTTCGCCGGAAGCTGCAGGGGCCCCTGGTCCCCGCGAAGATGTCTGGAGGTGTTTCCGCCGATTTGTGTTTTTTTTTGGCCGAAGGTGCGGCCGAACACGAGCTTGACCAGCACAAGAAAGCTTCTGGTTCCGGGGCGGGTGGAGTTTTCCTCAGGCCCATCTCAGGCAGAGTGCGGCTTACTCTGTGAGTCTGGCCCCAGACAGGGTAGCTCAGTTGAAGCAGTGGGGAGATATGTCTCGCTTTCCAAGTCTGGACTTGGCTCCATTGTTGGACCAGTTCCAGCTCCAAGTTCAAGATCCCGCATCACCCTTCAAAGCTCGCCCGGGTTTTCCAGGTGGACTTCCCTTTGGCTGCCTCCAAAACGTTTCTCCGTTGGACACAGCCCCGGCCGAAAAACAAGTTACCCCCCCGCCCCCGACTTCGAGTCGAGTGGCAGGTCTGCCTGGCCACCTTGGGCCTCATGGGCGCGACCTTCACTGCCTTCGCGCCCCTTGGCTTCCAGGAACTTCGAGGGGACGGACGGGGCGGGGGTTGGAGCGAAGGCCCTGGCGATTGGCGAGTTTTTCTGGGCAACGCGGGGTATG